AACAACAAGAAATGTATATAATTTAGCACATGAATGCTCTGGGTTCATGTAACCCTGAAATGCTTCCTTGAGGAAAATACATTTGTGGATGTATTTGGATGGGTGGGCATTTGGATGGATAACAGAGCATTACCCAGGAAAAAGAGTATGTCAGGAAGAGCATAGGGCAGTACCCTGAGGTGGGAAAGAGCCTGGCTTATTGCAGGTTGACAGAGAGGACAGGAGTACAGACCAACAGGAAAAGGTGGGAGTGAGCATATGGGGCTTGTAAGAGAGTCAAGGGCCAATTGTGCAGGGCCTCAGAGGCCATATCAGAAATTTGGGACTTGGTACAGAGTAATGGGAAACCATGAAAATTTTACATAGGGGAGCAATATGATTATATTTATAATTTTAAAAGATAACTTTAGCTGTAAGATAGATAATGGGTTGGAGGGGAAGAGGAGATATCTGTTAGAAAATTATTGATATCAATCCACAAGGAGGATGTTGGATTGGATTTGGTGGGTGAATGGAGAGAAGGAATAGATTTCAGAAATATGGAGGAGGAAAAACAGGACTTGGTAATAGATTGACTACACATGACATGTCAAACTTCACCTCTGTTTACATATATCAAATGTTATAAACAGATGTTTTTATAGATTCCCATATTTGTTTTTTAGTTTATTTTTCTTTCTTTCTTTTTTTTTTTTTTTTTTTTTGAGTTGGAGTCTCACTCTGTCACTCAGACTGGAGTGCAGTGGCCGCTCCCGGCAACCACAGCCTCGACCTACTGGGCTCTGGCGATCCTTCCACCTCAGCCTTCTGAGTAGCTGGAACTACAGCTACCACACCCAGCTAATTTTTGATTTATTGTAGAGATGAGGTCTCGTCAAGTGGCCTGGGCGGGTCTTGAACCCACGGGCTCAGGCAATCCACTCACCTTGACCTCCCAAAGCGCTGGGATTACAGGCTGAGCCACTGAGCCTGTCTTTATTTGTTTTTCAGTTTGCATTTTAAACTCTTACTTGATTAAAACTCCCAAATAAATGGAGACTAATGACAGTAAATATCGGAAAATATTTTCAAATTATTGTGATGACATATGGTCCTATAATTCTGGATTTTATAACAAAGCAGTTTGACTTCCATCCCATTCGTTTGGATAATGCTGTACTATTTAGAAAACTGAAATATGTTTTAAAAATATGACAGGCTTCAGCTTGTGTACATATTAGACACAGGGAGAAGTGAAACAGAATGTCTTGGATTTGAAAGAAACAATTCATGCAATTATTTAAAAAGTACAAATTCTGCACTCTATTTCTGTAAATAAAATTAGTTTTTTTTCTTAGATATAAGAATAATAGTTTGAATTTCTACCATAAAAAGTTAGTCCTGGTTATTCTCTTTAGACTTAAAGAGAGCTGCACGTAGCAGATTATGGGCAGACTTGTATGTAGAATGTAGTATGTTCCTCCTAGCTGGGCTTGCATGATTTGTCTTTCTGTGCTGGTGTTTATGTTCAATTTAGTGAAAACCATATTCCATTGTGTACTAGAATCTCTGGTTTTAAAAACAGCTAGGTTTTTGTGTATTTCCCTTTACTATCTCCATAAACTGAAAAGAAAAGAGCAGAAGGTAGAGATATAAATGAACCAAGTCAAAATATTCCTTTGTGTAGGAGAAAGAAGCAAAAATCAAAGCAGAAAGACTAAGTACTCAGTTTTGCTTGATGTAAATTCTTGTGTCTCCCTGACTCCATTTTCCTTCATTTCTTAATTTTCAAGAGAAACTAAAAAGATGGAGTATAATCCTATGTACTCCTGCAATTTCCCAAAACGTCTCTGACACACAAAAGAGATAAAGCCCTTGAGAATTTATTGGTGTGCATTTATTTAAAACACCTCTAGCTTCTATCGTGCATACCACTGAAGGACTTCTATCATATGTTCTTTTTTAACTCTCCAAGATGTTTTTAAAAGTGAACATTCTCAAAGGAAAAACCACTAAGTGGCAGAGAAATTGTGCATTTTGGCCAAGGCATGTTTGTAATGATTAAAAATTTAGAGTATTTGGTTTAAGGAACTGATTGCATTAAGTACCTGAAAAATAAGTCAAAGGGATTATGATTTTTGAAAAGGTTCAGTATATATAATTAATTAGAAAATATGCATCATCTAAAATTCTTGCTGGCATTTAAGAAATATTCAGTGTTTCACTTGTAAAAATATGTAAGTAAAAATAAGAGATATTTCTGATAAACTAATATTAGAACCTCCAACTTTTCCCTTATTCATAGAACCAAGTGAACACCACGTCAATTAGTAATAGGAGAGAGAATTAAAAGTGAAGTTATCCTAAGAATGTTTAATTATCCCCTAGGAAAAGAAATTAGTTGCTGGTCCTTGGGCTATCACAGTGAGATGCAGGTGCTTCCTTTTATATAAGTAAATCTTGGTTACATGTCCTCCAACCAAGTTTTAATTTTAAGGAAGGTTTTCCTAGAGAAAGAGTGGATAAAATATATAAGGACTGTAGAATGAGTAGAACAAGAACTATGCCCAGACTGTGCCTTTGTCTCTACTGGTGTGTTTGATGGAATGGCTTATATAAGTCAGGGTGGGAGGTGGTCCGTGGAGGTTGACACCAGCTGAGCTCCTCATTCTCCAGAGCCACCTCCTCTGTTCCTGTTCAATCCTTGTTGTTCAAGTTTCCTTCAGAGCTGCAGTCAAAGCCACCTTAAACCTAGGGCTACCTATCTCCTTATGGAGATTGTATTGGTCTCTTCTTTGAAGAACAATAGTCATAACTTCTGTTCTTGAGGTTGCTAGTCCTCCTTCACAATAAACAAATTTAAGTGAAAGTAACAAATACAATTTAGTTTACCACAATACAGGATAATGGGTTAAATCATATGGCCTCACTCGTTTTTTAAATTTATGGTTGTTGTTATATGATTCCAAATGAAAAAAATGTGTCAAATATAAACTTTAAAAAATGTTTATATTATTGGAATCTCAAGTATTTTTTGTCTTGAGATTCCAATAATATAAACCATAATTATTACCATAATGACCTAAATGGATTTTGAATACATAATTTTGGGTCTTCCTTTAAAATCATGGTGCTCCCCTTATGGAAATTGGAACTGGCAACCAATCTCTGATCAAAACCCCAAGTGCCCATGCCATAAGAGATAAGATAGACAAGTGGGACCTCATCAAAATGACAACTTCTGCAAAGCCAAAGAAACCATCAAGGAGACAGCCCACGGACTGGGAAAAAAAAATTGCCAACTGTATATCTGACAAAGGCCTAACATCTAGGATCTACAAGGAACTCAATCATGACGAAAAGAAAAAAAGCAAACAGTCCCTTTACACAGTGAGCAAAAGATATGACGAGGTACTTCCCAAAAGAAGACATATGAGCTGCCAACAAATACATGAAAAAATGCTCAACCCCATTAGTTGTCAAAGAAATGCAAATTAAAACCACACTAAGATACCACCTAACTCCAGTCAGGATGGCCACCATCAATAACAAAAAACTACAGATGCTGGAGAGCATGTGGGGAAAAGGGAACACTTCTACATTGTTGGTAGGACTGTAAATTAGTACAACCTCTGTGGAAAACAGAGTTTAGTGATTCCTAAAAAGTCTAAAAATTGACCTTCCATACGACCCCACAATCCCCCTACTAGGAATATACCCGGAGGAACTCAAATCACTCTATGAAAAAGATACCTACACATGCATGCTTATTGCAGCATTGTTCACAATAACAAAAACATGGAACCAACCGTGCTGCCCATCGAAAGAGGACTGGATAAAAAAAATGTGGTACATATACATGATGGAATATTATGCAGCCAAAAAGAAGGATAAAATGACAAACTTCACAGCAACTTGGATGGACTTAGAGTCTATAATACTGAGTGATCTATCACAGAAATGGAGAACTGAATATCACATGTTCTCACTCTTAAGTGAACCTTAAACAATTATCATAATGCTGTAAGAAAAGGACTGTCAGTGGTGGGAAATTGCTGGGGGAGGGCAGGATTGGCAGGAGGAATTCTGCCAGGGGAGGGGAGGTGCACCTTATCAACAAAGGTACCTGCATAATGAACATTTGTATACTTAACCTAAATTGTACTCCACATCTTTAAAATAAAAAATCAGGGTGCTCTATATATCTTATTGTTTAGACCATCTCTTATTTAAAGCAACTCCAGATGTTGACAAACATAATTAAATTGTGTCCCACTCATTAAAATCCTCTAAATTTTTTTTACTATCTTATGAGCGTTTAAAGTGATTAAAAAATAAGGACTATACTGTGCTCCTAAAAGAAGATTTAAGCTTCCTGATTGTGAAAAAATGATAATAAATTAATGGTTACTGTAGTCTTTTTACACTAGAAACAGGAAATTTAATAACATTAATTTTCTTACATTACTAAAATTATGTTTCTATTCATATCATGACTTTGATCTTTAATGTTTAGTTTGTAAAAGCAAATCCACATGCAAAATGATTTGCTAGTTTCAAACATGTTAACCTTCGACTACAATTAACAACTTAATTTGAAGAAGAGGAAGATGGGCTAAATAATTTAGATCAGGAGTTCCCATGCTCTCCTATTTAAAGCTGTGTTTTCCTACTAGCTAGAAATAGTTTAACAGATTTTTCTTTGAATAGAATTCCCTGGTCTTATGAGAAAAAAATTAAATAACAATTGTACTATAGCAGGTTTTCTAAGAAGTAGTGGTCATATCTTTGTCTATAACCAAAAGCTATAGAAGTAGAAAAACGGTTATTTAAATTCATTCACACTTAAAATTTTCCCAGACTCCATTTAATTCACTACTGCTAAATTCTGAGTTCATCGCATGGCAAATTAATTTATTTCTAAAATTACATTTCTATATCCACTAGTTTTATAAGCTTAGCTGCATGCTCCAAAGATAATTTTTTAAAAAAACTCAGATGAATTGCATTCATTTTCTCAGCGCTGCCGCTGAAGCTGATGGTATTGATCCATTAATAAACATCCTGTCTTGTAAACGAGATGGAGCCATTGCCAACGCCGCCACCGTATTAACAAACATGGCAATGCAGGAGCCCCTGCGCGTGAACATTCAGAATCGCGACATTATGCGCGCCCTCACCAGGCCCCTGCGGTCTGCGAACATGGTCGTGCAGAGCAAAGCTGCTCTCACAGTGGCTGCAACGGCGTGCGACGTTGAGGCCCGCACGGAGGTAAGAGTTTGAATAACAGCTGTTCTCTCATTTTTTTCTGGTCAGTATCTATGCGTGGATTCATTTGAAACATTTTTGAGTGTTTCAACTTACCCTTCGTTTAAGCCCTTCAAAACTGGAACAACACTTTGGAAAACAAATTGACATTTTTTAGCCAAGAAGGTGAGCAAATCCTGTAACCCAACAATTCTGTTTCTAGGTATGTAACTAAGAAAAATAATCTTGCCTTGGGGTACCAGCAAGCATGGTTTATAATATCTAAACAAAACAGTGTCCAACTGTTAAGAGAATGGATGAGTGAATTGTAGTAGATTCATAAAGTGGAATATCATGGTGGTGGAAATGAATGAGTTGCAGCTGCAGACATCAACAGGGATGAGTTTCCCAAACATTATACTGAGCAAAAATAAGTTGTATAAAATACATACTTATGGTTCCATTATTAAAAATATGCAAAGTTAAGTAATATGTTGTTTAGGCTTGCATACATAGAAATTAAAACTACAAGCCGGCTCGGTGGCTCAACCTGTAATCCCGCACCTTTGGGAGGCTGAGGTGAGTGGATTGCCTGAGCCCGCGGGTTCGAGACCTGCCTGGGCAACTTGGCGAGACCTCATCTCTACAATAAATCAAAAATCAGCCGGGCGTGGTAGCACGCGCCTGTAGTTCCTGCTACTTGGAAGGCTGAGGCGGAAGGATTGCCGGAGGTCGAGGCTGCGGTGGCCGGGAGCGGCCACTGCACTCCAGTCTGGGCGACAGAGTGAGACTCCAACTCAAAAAAAAAAAAAAAAGAAAAGAAAAAAAATTAAAACTACAAAGAAAAGTGAGGGAATGATGAATCCCAAATTCAAGAAAGTGGTTGCCTCTGGGGTCAGTAAGGGGGCGGCAATAATTGGGAGGAACACACAGGGTTTCAATGTTGAAATGTGTCATTTCTGGAGCTGGGTAGTAGACAAACAGGTATGCCTTTTACTAGGATTCTTTAAGTTATACATAGGGGTTATCATATATCCTCTTGTGTTTCTCTTATATTTCATCATTTCAAAACTTACAATTACATTTATCTGAAAGTCCATTATGGAAATATGTTTTTAGTACTTATGATGATCCTATTACATTTTCATTAAAACTTAACTTTCAAACATCTTTTTTCCCCATCAATTTTTCTCGTAATTACTTGTCACCACGCCACTCATGTGAACAGCCTGGGACTTTGTTTCTCTCTCCTCCATAAAAATAACAAAAGTTAACATTTATTGAGCACTTTCCCAAGCCTTGTGCTAAGCAGTTTACATGCAATTAAGCCTCACTTGAAATCGGGATGTTTATAATTCCCAATTTACAGATGAGGAAAATGAGGCTTAAATAATGTGTTGAAAGCAGATATGAGAACATATCTTTTCGGGTCCAGAGCCTTATCTTCAACTATGCTGTCTGCTCAGACAATTGCCTCATCATCTTTGGTCTCTTAGATGTCAGTTCCCCTTTGTTCCCATTGACTCAGTTCATTTGTGCTCACCCATTCGGGTAGTGATAGCCACCAGATAGGTATCTACCAGTTGCTATGTGCCAGGCACCTCACTAGGCTTCGAGAGACAGTGACAAACAAGAGTGTCCTGGTCATACCTTCATGCAGACTTCAGGGGCACCCATCTGGTTCTTGCCAACTTTTCTTCCTCCCGCTTCCTCCTATTCAATCCCTTGCGGCCTCCAGGCTGGTCTTTATACTGTGTGACCTTCCTCACATCAATACACATCCCCAGTGGCTTGCTGTCACCACAAGCTAAAGGTTAAGCTGCTTAGTGTCATACACAAGGGTCCTCGGTGACCTGCCTACCTGCCAGTTCAAGTTTCAGCTCTGCATGGCTGGAGCTCTATACTCCAGAAGTGCCACACTGCTTGTAATTCTCTCAGCCCTCATAGTTATACCTCCTTGAGTTTTCTGCTTTCTCCCCTTTTTCCACGTAATAAATACCCACTTCTCCTTCAAATGCCAGCTCAACTATCCTGTCCTCTAGGAGGTCTTTCTTCAGTTTTCAAACTGAAGTGCGTCTTCCTCTATTCTCTCATTATACCCCTTTGTCTTTCTTTTTTGAACTTTATGGTTCTTTTGAAAGACTACAAGCTCCTTGAGGTTTTAGGAAAGGGAACTGAGATTTTCCCTCCATGTCCATATCATTAATATATACCTGGTGCATAATGTATGCTGAATAAACATTGTGAAATAGAAGGAAGGAAAGAAGGAAGGAGAAGGAAGGAAGGAAGGAAGGGAATCAGATTTTTGTCAAAAGAACCCATGGAGTAGATTACTATTATGTATTATACACAGCAATAAAGATGATCAGCAATTTGGCTTGTTAAGCATAGGATACTTCAAGTGAGCTTTCTAAGCTGCCCAAGTTACATGTGCTAACGTGAAATCCCTGCCAAGGTCTCTGAGTTTAGTTTAATGAGCAGAACATATTCCATAGGGCTCTTGTCTTTGGATACTACACATACAGACTGGTAGAATATTAGTTTTACCCTCCAGGCTCAGATAATACAGTATTACACTTCAGACATAAGTCTGACTTTTTTTCCTGATTAGAATAATTTTATACATCTTTTAATAATGTAATTAATGTAGTTCCCACCAATTCTCTTCTTCTTGAATGGAAAAGAGGACACTCTATGAGGATAGCTAAGATGGGCCACTCTCTAGAGAACTGCTTCAGTGGTGCTTTGGCCACTCTGCTGACTTGGTGACCACGTTTGTGATGTGGGTTGTCCTTGGCTGCTTTGGTTCCTCTTGCTCCAACCTTAGCGACTGTGTTAGCTTCTGATTGCTGCTGTAACAAATTACCACCACTTAATGGCTTAAAGCAATATGAATCTATTATCTTTAACTAATCTCCCCATCTCAAGATCCTTAATTTAATCACCTTCCAGGGAAGCAGACTGTGGGAGCTCAGAAGTCTGAAATGGATCTTCTGGGCTAAAATCAAGGTGCTGACCTGGCTGCATTTCTTCTAGAGACTTTAGGGGAAAGTCCATTTCCTTGACCTTTCTGGCTTCTAGAGGCCACTGGTATTGCTTGTAACCCTGCTGGGATCTTCAGAGCATATCACTCCATCCTCTGCTTCCCTTTCCACTCTTGTCTCCCTCTTTAAAGATCCTTGTGATTACATTGGGTCTTCCTGGCTAATCCAGGATAATCTCCCCATCTCAAGATCCTTAATTTAATCACCTTCCTGAGATGCAAAGTCCCTTCCAGGGACAAAGACATCCCTTTGTCTTTGGGGGACCATCATTCTGTCTACCTCAAGGCTAAGTGAACATTCGGTGTTCAGGAGCAGGGTGAATAAACATAGGATATCCCACATATAGGCAGTGAGAAGACAGGTTCCTGCCCCAGTCCTTGTCTCATGTAAAATCATCATGACCTCCCTGTCACTTTACTGGGGACACAAAACTGGGCTTCCGCGTGTAAGGGTTTACAGTAGATTTTTTTTCCCCTTGAATTTAATAAATCAAAATCGAGATACCTTCTAAAGCATTTTTTTAACAGTTAAAGTATTTTAACAAGCAAATGATGAGATGTTTCTAAAAGCGTAGATATTTATATTCTATACTCTCAATGTGTAAAATCTTGGTTTCTGCTTTCAGTTAAGAAACTCTGGTGGATTGGAGGCCCTTGTTGAGCTCCTGTACTCCAAGAACGATGAAGTCAGAAAGCACGCCAGCTGGGCGGTGATGGTCTGTGCCAGTGACGAGCTGACGGCCAATGAACTGTGCAGGTTGGGGTGAGTGGAACCCTCTAAGCTTTTGGCTCAGATGGAGAGCAAGAGACGGAGAAGCACACACTTCAGGCACAAGGAAGATCAAGCAGCGCTTGCAATGCTTCTCTATGTCAAGCACTCAAGAGCTCTGTGTGTTCCCAGCTTAGGCCTTACTTAGCTCTGAAGGGATTGCCTGAATGAAGGGGCACCCCTTTCCTCCCCACCTGAACTCTTCTTCACTGTCCTTTACAAAATCATCTTCAGTCATTTATTTTCTGCCTCTTCATCTTGATAAATGTTTCTCTTTTACATTCCCCTGCTATTGCCAAACAAACCCTATTAGTCTCTCAACTTCCAAGGCTAAAATACAACGGGACCATGACTAACATTTCTGTTTTTCTTCCCCATTCCACCAAACCTCTTCACCATAATTCCAGATTTAACCACCTTCACTGAATCGGTTCTCCTTATCAACAGCAGACAAGTTAGTTGCCTTTAGCATATCAGCAAATAGGATTTTATGTTTCCATGGACAGCTTCCTCTATTCATTTATAAACTTTTTGATTCTTTGCATATATTCCTGGTTAGCTGAAAAAAGTTGATGTTCAATATTAATTTTGCTTTAAGTAAACTAAGAAATGCTTTCCCTGAAAGTGTCCTTTTAAATTGTTTGAATATAAGTTACTAAGTGATATATATAGCCACAAAAAGGGCAGATTTGTCTTCACAATTCTGCTGGTATTACTATATTTAAAAGGGGGTGGGAGAGGCTTTAAACTTGTCATCTCAATTCTTCCTTCAGGATCTTAAGTAGGTATATAATGGGAACCCAATGTTGGATTACTTGTATAAAACAAATAATGCTTTTTACTTTTATTGACAGGGCTTTAGATATCCTTGAAGAAGTTAACCTATCAGTAAGTCGAAAAAATAAATTCAGCGAAGTAGCTTATAACAAATTGCTCAACAACAATCTTTCCCTGAAATATAGCCAGACTGGCTATTTGTCATCAAGTAACATAATTAGTGATGGATTTTATGACTATGGTCGGGTAAGTGGCAGCACTTATTTGTATTTGAGTATGTAGGATAATTACTTGTTTCTTTAATCCTGATGCCTTTACATTGCAATTTCATAACCACCTAACATAATTTATATTCTTATAGGCAGAAATTTGAAAATCAGCACTTTATCCTTAGCTTTGGTTATGAGATTTTGCATTTTTGTACAGTTTTGAGTAGAATCTGATTACTTGTAATTAAATCAGCTTGCTAATGCCAGTCTCAAGTTTTAGATAGCTATAAAAGATCTGGGCACAGTGGTGTGCACCTGTAGTTCTAGCAACTAGGGAGGCTGAGGCAGGAAGATTGCTTGAGCCCAGGAGTTCAAGGATGTAGTACACTATGATCATGCCTGTGAATAGCCACTGCGCTCCAGCCTGGACAACATAGTGAGATCCTATCTCTAAAAAAAACAAGAACAAGATATAAAAGAAGGGGCATTTTTAATTTGGGAGTCCTGTTACTTAGTGTTAGTGATAAGGGTAGAAGTAGGCATTTCTTATTTTATTAGTTACAATATAATTGAAATTAACCACATTTTAATACTGGATTTAAAAATGTAACAAAAAATATTGTTTTACTTAACTGCATTTATGATTATGATTTTAAAACAATATATAGTGCAATTCAATGTGAATGCTGAGAGAAGTGGGAAGCTCAAAGCTAAAATCTTGAGGACTTGTTGACATGGGTTGCCAAAGGCCTCTAAGGTCAAGCAGAAGATGTGCAAGAGGAAAAGGGAAAGGAAAAAAGAATCACATGCAGAGAGCTGGGGATGGCAGATCTCAGAAAGCACCACCCAAACTCTGTATTTCCTGCAGTGATGCAAGAACTCGGAATTGCAGAAGCTGTGTTTGCCAGGCAGGAACAAGAACTCAGAAGGGGGTGAGAGAGGCTGGCAGCAGATTCCCCTTGGACCTATTTGGTTCCAAGAAGCAGAGGAGGCAGGACCATGAAAGAGTCACATTGCTGAACTGCCCTTGCAGGAAGCACTTGATCGTGGTGGCAGAGAACTAGAGAAATTTTGAATAATGAAAAACAGCTAGAATAAAACTTTGCACTGTTTTTTTTTTTTTTTTGAGTTGGAGTCTCACTCTGTCGCCCAGACTGTAGTGCAATGGCTGCTCCCGGCCACCACAGCCTCGACCTGCTGGGCTCTGGTGATCCTTCCGTCTCAGCCTTCCAAGTAGCCGGAATTACAGGCATGCGCTACCACGCTCGGCTGATTTTTTGATTTATTGTAGAGATGAGGTCTCACTGCCCAGGTGGGTCTCAAACCCACGGGTTCAGGCAATCCACTCACCTCAGCCTCCCAAAGGCGCGGGATTATAGGCTGAGCCACCGAGCCCGGCTTGCGCTGGTTTTTATTTTTCACTAAAACTCTTCTGCCTTCTCCACCCCCTGTCACCACCAAGCCCCATAATATCCTATAACATACACAACCCATGATAAATTGCTATGAGAAAGCTCATCTCACGCAATGATGATTAATTTAAAAAGAACTGATGCTGCATTAGTACAGAGATGCTTTAAGAAATCAGGGGAAAAGAGTTGAAAAACATCACAGAACACTTACTAGGATGAGATAAAATCATGACAAAAGGTATTTGGTCATAAGGCTTTTAAAATTTAATGAGACACTATCCTTTACAAAGAAGAATGCTCTGATTCTTTCATTCAGTAAATATTAAGTTTCTGATATTGGAGGCTGTGAGTATGTCAGTGAACAAAAGAGACAAAGACCTCTGCTCCCATGGCACCAGTGAGAACAGACAGACAAACAAAAAACTTGACAAATAAATGCATGCTATCTCATGGTATAATTGAGAAGAGCCATGGCGGAAAGCAGGCAGAGCAGAGACAAGATGAGGGCTCTGTATTGCTGGGGAGTAGTGAGGTGGATGGTTGCAATTTTAGAAAATTTGCAGTCATTATCTCACTGAGAGGTAATAATAGCCGAGCAAATACTTGCAGGAGGTGAGAGTCTTAGCCATGAGGCTATCTCGGGAAAGCACTTTCTAGGCAAAGGGAGGAAACAGGGCAAAAGCCATAGGTGTAAATATGAGTGAGAAACAGCAGAGCGGCCCATGCAGCTAGAGTCCAAAGAACCAAGTGGGTGAGACGTGAGGACTAGGTCAGAGAGGTAACAGGAGAATGTGGCCTTCACTCAGAAGGGTATGCCATGGCTGGGTCCTGGACAGAAGAATGACAGGATCTGTCTTTCAAAGGGATCCTGAAAAGCATCTTGGATATAAAAGGGATCTAAATATAACTTGATTAGAAAAAGATCTCAGAAGGTGATCTAGTCTAGCCCTCTTCTACTAGGCTAGCAAAATTGCCAGAATGGGGCTTTGTCTAGCCTATTTTTAGATAGCCTCACAACACTTGGACAATCTGTTTCAGTTCTTCGGTACTTGTACAGACAGTCAATTCTCCTTTAAGTATGAGGGTAGATTTGCAAACTCAAGTGCTTTCTGAGGCCAAGAAGATAATTAGGGTATGAAATGGCTGAGTGTTAAGCAATAAAGATGATAAGGAACTGGATATATCCTGCCCAAAGGCAAGAACCTCCACAAGCTTTAGGTTCCTACTTCTAATTTTATGTATATGTATTGTGTGTGTGTGAACTTAGATACATCAAACAGTTGAGACCGTATTCTATCAGTCCTTATTTTTTAAAGTATGACTCATGCAGATATTACTTTTTGGTCTTTAAATTGCCTTGCAGATAAATCCTGGCACCAAACTTTTGTCTTTGAAGGAGCTTTACTTACAAGAACCAAGTGACCTACGAGCTGTACTCTTAATCAACAGTAAATCTTTTGACGCGTGAGTCTTTGGGGAGGGGCGGGGGATGCAGGGAAGTACATACATGAAGGGAGACCCCCTGAAAATGAAATTTATTTATTAAAAAATTATGTGTTTATTCTTCCATGTTTAAATTTCAGTCACCTTAAAGTACTCTCCATTTGTGGCAATACTCCTATCAAGATGCTTTCTCTACTGCTCAGAACAGTTTTTAAACATGTACATTTTGATGCCTTTTAGTGCTTCTGCTGTTTTTTTGTTTCACCACTTCCACATAGGCAAAACATTTCCCTTTGAGGAGGTTTTTCATCCGGGGAAACAAACAAGCAAAAAAGTCGTTTTGGGCGAGATCAGGTGAATAGGGAGGGTGGGACACAGGGTCATGCTGTTTGGGGTCAGAAACTGCTGAACACTCAGCACAATGTGGGCAGGAGTGTTGTCATGGTGGAAGAACCAGTCACATGTTTGCCACAAAAAAATTTACTGGAGCCGAGCACAGCCTCTCACAACGTTAGCTGGTACATTGATGCCAATGGGTTTCTAGAACACTTACCTAGCAGGGGAAGACTGTATTACAAGGGATCTGCTCTCCAAAAGATAATTCTGTGCTTTTTTGGGTCCCTCCTGTATATATATTTTTATTTCTCCATCAACAAGTGGGTATGTACAGATTCCTAGATTATTTTCTCCGGTATATAACACCACCATGCAAATAAACACTGGCCCATAAACCCAGCCTGGCATTGGAATTTCCACCATCACAAATCAACACGCTCTTGCTCTTTTCCTTTGACTCCATTTTACCAGTCAATTTCAAGTGTATTTTGAAGTCAGGGCCTCTTACCCATGGAGTAATTGAAGAAAGTATAGACAGGAGCAAACCAAGATGGATTATGTTTACAAGTCTCCAGAACTGTGTGCTGGAGTGTAACTACTGCCCAACATATTTCTTTGAAATATGAAATAAATGACAGAGCTAAAAATTAAGCCTTTAACGTTCTTTTTAAAAATGATCATGTATCATGAACATCTGTATATCTATTTAGTACTTATGTTACACATTTTGTACAAATATTTTTGTCCTAACTTATGAATAACTTTGTAATATTCTTTTTGTCTTATAGTTTCTCCCTTATGCTTTTAAAATAGTGTGTTATTGTTAAAGTCAGCTTCAAACATCTCTCTCAGGGAGAAGAATCTGTTTTGTGAAGCAAAGCCAATATTGGCAAATAAGTTATTTTATTTTGTACATAATTTCAAATGTGTAAAATTTTAGTTCTCCACCTCCATCTATGGAAGATAAATTATCAGATGTTGGTTATGGACGAAATATTTCTTCTTCATCTTCCTTACGAAGAGCAAGCAAAGAAAGGACCAAGTAAGAAAATGTTTTATCTGTACTCAAATAACTCTCCTTTTAATTTTAGAGTGAAAACATTTTTTTTAGATTTGCAATCTTGGCAACTTAATTTTTAATGCTTCTGGTAATGCAATTGTGTAATTGCTTCTTAAATTGCTGTGAATGACTGGGTGAGGTGGGAGGCTGAGGCAGGAGGATTGCTTGAGCTCAGGAGTTTAAGACCAGCCTAGGCAACACAGCAAGACCTTGTCTCTACAAAAAATAAAAAAAATCAGTCAGGCATGGTAGCACATACCTGTAGTCCCAGCTACTCAGGAGGCTGAGGTGGAAGGATCTCCTGAGCCCAGGAAGTCAAGGCAGCAATGAGCTGTGATTGTGCCACTACACTCCAGCCTGGGCGACAGAGTGAGACCCTGACTTAAAAAACAAAGAAATACATAAGAAATAGCTGTGAGAAAGATCTCTGTAAAAGAAGTCAGCAGACCTGGCTTCACATCCTGTCGCGGACCTGCAGTGATTGGGACTGCTTGACCTAGTGTCTGAGCAGGTATCCTTTTCCTTAGGTATAGATGAAATCATACCTGGTCCCCTGCTTCAAGATGTTGAAAGGAATCAAGTCATATAATGAAGTGAAAATGCCTTGTGAACTATATGTTGCCTTCCAAATGTAACATCATGCTATTTTGCATATGATTGAAATTGGTTGTTTTTTTTTTCAAATGACAAAAAAAAAAGTTATCGTTTCAGTGCTGGATTTGGGTCTCCCACAGAAGACAAGTCAGAGCCTCCTTCTGGACGAAATACTGTTCTTAGCAAAAGTGCCACTAAGGAAAAAGGATCAAGGTAGGAGACATGTCATTGTGTTCCTAGTTTACCAAGTAAGGTTGGGGAGAGGGAGGGCTGGCTTTTCAGGAAGAAGCTTTTCTCATGCAATCAGTATGCTGAACTAGGTGAGACTCATGAGACATAATTAAAAAGTAACTTTATTTTTGTCTCTTGCCGTCTTTTTCAAATTTACCCAGAGAGAATTTCTTCTCTTGACCTTGGAATGAGCACTCAGGTCACTTTGATCACTTGTAGGGACTGTAAAGTCCTATAGTCACTTTAATTCAGAAGTGACAACAGGAACAGCAGTCTCCAGTCAGTCATTTGAAAGCTCAGCCCTAGGTAATTGACATGGCATGAACTCTTCTGCCTCCCACCGTTGCCTTTTGCAGGTGGCAGACCCCACACACAGGGTCCTGTCCACCTCTCTCCTTCCTTGCCTTTTCCTCCATGCCCCTCTCATCTCACCCAGAGTCTCTGAACCTCCAGGGTGGAAGGAACCCAAGGAGGAGCAGGAAACAGGACAGAGATCTCACTTGAGGGGAACAATTAGACTGTGCTTTTCAGGCCTGGCGTATTCTAAATGTACTTTTTTCCTGCATAGTTTACATATTTTTAAAACCTATTTCTCCTCCCAGGAGAACTTTCCTGGATTCTTCAAAATACTGTTTGAACTTCCTGCCACACTCCATACCCTTTACTCATCTTAGTAGCTTATATGTAACTTTGGTTTGCTATGGGACCAAATCGGGCCTGAATTCTCAAACAACCTGTCCATCCAAAAGTCCAACAACTATCAAGTACACTCTCTGTGTCTTTTTGTGCATTTTCATGATAGACCATCTTATTTTCACAGGCCGGTCAAAATACTGACTGGCTTTGAGGCAGTTGTCTCCTTCTGGTCTACCCAGCTGCGGCCCAAGGAGTACTTGGCCTTCTGCTCAGGGAAGGTCAGGCCACTTGACTGAAGAGTGACCACACATCCTGTTGTATGTATCCTCCTTCATTCAAAGCTTGCCTTTCTTCCCTCTGGTCCTCAGCAGACCTGTCAACACATTAACTTTCTGTCGCCCAGGCTAGAGGGCAGTGGCACACTCATGGCTGCAGCCTCAACCTGCTGTGCTCAGGTGATCCTTCCATCTTAGTCTTCCAAATAGGTGGAACTACAGGCACGTGCCACCATGGGCTACATCTTTGGTTCTTCTGCTATGCTTGACTTTTTATTTTTCATTATTTTTCTTACAGCTCAGTCTTACTCCAGAATCTTTTGGGCAGTCCTTCTGGGTTGAAAGTTATTTTATATACTTGTGAATATCATAAGGCTAAACTCCATACAACTATGGTTTCCTTTATTGTGATATTTGGCAGTGATTTTTTCTGTGATACTGTGAAGCACTCACATCTTTGTCTCGTTTGATTCATGTCAATTTGTCCTTCTTTTCTGGTGCTTCGTGTTGTCTCCTCACCCCTTGCAATACCTTCAATATTGATGTTTTCCAGGGTTCTTCATCTACTCCTTTTCCTACTCTCCATTGTTTTAACTGCCGCTCTGATCCGCATGCTAGCTTCGGCCTCTCTTCAGTCCAGACCTATGTCCAGTGGCCTGTTGGAGTCCTCTGTGCTGTCACCTGTAAGCATCTCAAGTTCACTATGTTTGAAGCTGAACTCATTGTTCTCCGCAGCTCCCAAATCTCCTCCTCTCTATTCCCTGTGCTGGCTCATGCTAACCATATTCTATACAAATTGCCCAAGCCGGGCTCGGTGGCTCAGCCTGTAATCCCATGCCTTTGGGAGGCTGAGGTGAGTGGATTGACTGAGCCCGCGGGTTCGAGACCCGCCTGGGCAGCGAGACCTCATCTCTACAAAAATAAAAAAAAATCAGCCGGGCGTGGTAGACACGCCTATAGTTCTGGCTACTTGGAAGGCTGAGGCGGAAGGATCACCGGAGCCCAGCAGGTCGAGACTGCGGTGGCTGGGAGCGGCCACTGCACTCCAGTCTGGGTGACAGAGTGAGACTCCAACAAAAAAACAAAACAAAAGAAAACAAATTGCCCTAACCTAGGAGTCATAAAGCCCTTCTTCTCCCCTTATTCCCAATACTGAGTGAATCTCTTAGTCCTATCCCCTCTGTGTCTTAATTGTCTCTTAAATCTATTCCTTCCCTTCATTTTCATTTTTACTTCTCTGGGTCAGGCCTTTATATTATGTCTCAATCACGATGACCTTTTTGTACTGTGGATCCTCCTGCCTTTTGTATAGCCCTCCAAAAATCCATCCTCCATGCTACACCCCAGAGTCACCCTTTTCAAATAAAAGTCTGATCCTCTGCCTAAAGCAATGATTCTCTGTCATCTTCCAGAGAGAGTCTAAACTCGAGCTCTGGTAGGGTATATCCTGGAAGAGACTTTCTTGTCTTGTGTGCATGGTAAATTCTGATTCTTTATTTTCTTTATATTTTTGTTTTTGTGAAGCCTTCTTTGATTATTCCAGGTTAAACATTATTTGTGCCAACTCATGAATTTGGGTATTTATTTATTTATATTTTTCTAACTTTATTGAGGTGTAATTGATGGACACATTGTATATATTTATGGTGTTCAACATGATATTTTGATATATGTATACATTATGAAATATTTACCACAGGTAGTATGCATCAACTCACAGTTACTTTTTTTTATTTTGTGGTGAGGACATTTAAGATTTACTCTTAGCAAATTTCAAGTATACAACATAGTATTATTAAGTATATTGTAATGTCACAATGCTGTATATTAGATCTCCTGAGCTTATTCATCCTGCATAGCCAAAACTCCTTTGTGAATTAATAATAGCTCTTATATATAGCCTGCACTGATTGGTGTTGATCTTTATTTTTTACAATTTAAGAAATTTTTTGTAGAGATAGGTTTTTCTTGCCAAGGCTGTTCTTGAATTCCTGGCCTCAAGCGATCCTCTCATCTTGGCCTCCCAAAGTGGTAGAATTACAGCATGAATCACAATGCCCAGCTTGGTGTTGATTTATTTTTTTTTTGTCTTTCTCACTAAGCACTGAGCTACTTCAGTTCTGGGACCATGTCTTTTTCATATTTATAGCCATAGAGCCTAGAATAGTGTCAGGTACTCTTTACTATTAGGGGCAGTAACAAAATATTTGTTGATTAAATATTAAAATTACTTTAATTATGGAATACTGCTTGAATGTTGAAACTAACTGTTGAATGTTGAAAGGAATAGATGGTTTACTCCCTTACAATAAGCGCTGGGAAAATAAGCATAAGCAAATGAGAATAGCTCCATACTCCATACTGTTTCTATTCTCCTTCTTATTGCTGCATATTCTTGCAGCTCAATGCTTATTTGAAAGTAAACCCTGATGTGTTCTCAATATCCAAAAGGATTGTTGGCACGAAGGATTGTTCATACAGATTTTGGGTTCAGACAAGGCTGGTCCTCGGTTTTCTTAACTATACACTTGACACAAGATGGGGGACCCCAAAGATGAGGTCCAGCCCTGGAGGCCAAGTGGGTTCTTGACTTCACATAGGAAAGAATTCAAGAGCAGGCTGACAACATAAAGTGAAAGTAAGTTTAGTAAAAGAAAAGAGGAATAGAAAGAAGGCTACTTTATAGGCAAAGCAGCCTCCATTCATCCCTGGGGTTTTAGTTGTAAAATGAAAGCAAATTTATTGAAATGACAGAGAACAGGTTGTTCCATAGGCAGAGGAGTCTGGCTGACCTAGGAAGAACAGCAGCCATATATCACTGGAGTCTTATCTTTGTAGTTATTTCTTGATTATATGCCAAGCAAGGGGTGGAATATTCATGGGTTTCCTGGGCAAGAGGTGGAAATTTCTAAGAACTGGGGCTCTTCTGATTTGTTACTATAAATAGGTAGCATCAAAACAGTCATGGCACTGAAAGATGTGTCAGTTAGCATGCTAATATAGTATAATGAGCATATAATGGGAGGGGACAGGGTTTGGTAGCAGGCAGGTTAGTTACCGTCTTGGTTCTAGCTGGCTCTCATCCGTTCTTAACCACATCCTGGTTTTCTTTGTGAGGGCTCAGAAAGTCAGGCTATTTATCTATCTAGAGAAACTGTCTCAGCCACCTGTCCTAAGAGATTAGCTTTGTTGTTTATCTTAGGGAACGAGTCTGCTTAATTCCTATCTCAAATGGATATAATGATCGCTGTCTTATAGAGCTGCTGTAAGAGGAAATGAAATGGTGTCAGGAAAGTGTCTGAGTCATTGCCTGGTGTTCAATGTGTGCCCATTCTTTCTCTCCTTCTTAGCTCTTGGTCCTTTGGGGGATAGACTGGCCATGATACTGTTGTCCTGTTGTCTGTCTTTTGGCACACCCTTCTTGACTTATGACTATTAAAACTTTGGATTCTGGGAATAGAGTAAAATATTTTAACCCTATTCATCTGATAATGCCATTAAGATGTTTTGTGTTAACAAGAGAGTGACAGATACTGACAAAGAATAATGAGACATCTAGAACTACAATGTGGCTAAATTTTTGAGAGGGAGAGATGGGAAACAAGATCAATTATGTGTGAGGTGTTCTAATATAGACAAGAGAAAGTGAAAGTATGGATTTCTCTCTTTTTCCTGATATCAACCACATACCATGTAAACTAAAACCTCTGTCTCCTCAAGCAAGAGATGCTCACTGGGTGACCAGCCATGATATTATTTTTGTTTTTGAAGGTTTTAGTTACATTTCTCTTCATGGCAAGACAATCATAAGAGAAGTGATTGATTTGTTTCCTGTTAGTCTACTCACCTTGATACATCCTTAGGCTTCACTGAAACCAACATGTCTAATATTCCTTCTAAAGCTTTTCCTTATAAAGCACAATTAAGTGTAAACATTTAATCATAATATTTACTAGACCTATTTGTGAAATGCATTATAAGTTCTGTCTATATGGTAATTTTATATTCAGGTCAGTTTTCACAAATATTCACTTGATTGCACGAGTTTTATTACACACACAAAAGTTTATC